ACGAGAATTTGTGAGAATTTGTTTTAAAATGTAGTCGCCTTCGAAGGTCACAGTTCCACATACTAACAAATTATTATTATTATTTTTTGTGTGTTTTAACGAAGCTGTAGCAAAAAAATCAAAATTAAGCTTAACATCCAATGAGGAGTCTCATGTGAGGAATTAAAATATTTTTCTTTTTTTGCGTTTGGTATCGTTGAGAAACAAGAGTTGTAAGCGATAATAAATATTAAATTTTTATATTTTTCTTTTCTTCATTGCTTTTTACTTCTATTTATACTTCGGCCATGATATTTGTAGAATATGCTGTATTATAGTGACGTGAAGGTACAGACATAAAATATTTAAAAAAATTGTTTTGACTTAATAAAGTAAAAAAATTAAAGAGGAACGAATCGCACAGAATATCACGGAATGTTACTTCTAATTTAAAACGGTTTCTCTCATATGTCCGATTTCAATATGAATTTTATGTGCAAAAAATATTTTTAAAAACTCCATAAAATCCTTCAAAAATTATTCTAAAGTGTCATATTAGAAGCAATAACCGCTCAATAAGATTCAGAAGAATGAATGAAATAGCGTTTTTTGACAAACAAACAGCATCCGAGTATTAAATTATTTACTAATCGTTAATTAATTTAAATGGTGATAAATTGTCATTTAATTCATGTTGATGAAATTAATGATTTCATGTGTTTTAGGGCTGTCAATTCCTTGCTTCTGCTAGTGGTTAATTTAATGAATTTTTAAATTTTCCTCACAACGGGATGGCGGTTGATAAACATTGAACGTAGTTACAAAAAAAGAAAAAATATCCGAAAGCCATGTGTATGCGAATCGAAAACACAGATCTAGAGGTTAAAAAAAATTAATTCAAACTATGAAAAAATTCTTGTACAAATCTTTTTGAGTCTCTGAAGCGCTCCCCCTTCAACTCCTTTTTCTGAACCTATTTATTCTGATGATAATTATATAATATTATGTCGTCTGAAATAGTTTAGAAACTTTTCAAGTGGCCTTTCTTTGCTTTTCATCAAGGCTTGCTTTCTTCATTTATTTCCATTTCCATCAAAAATTTAAGACATGCAATTAATTTAAAACATTATAAAGTAAAGCAGTACTAATCAAACAGAAAGTGTTCGGCATGAAAAAATTATGATTAAAACAATATTTTAAAAGTGTTCGTTAAAAATATTCCTCTAGAACAAATATAAAACATTCCTTAGTAACAAAAAATTTCTGTTTTTAAAACCATCCACTTGATAAATTTAATGAAAATTTAAAACTGCCTATCTTGAATGCCAATAAAATTATATTTCGATTCAGTAGTCATCAAAATATCATCAATTATTAAAACAAAATTATCGATAATTAAATTACTGGTTAATTGTCATGAAATAAGTCCTCGAAAAACTTGTCTCAGTTATTAATTCACTTGTTCAATTAGCTCTATTGTTGATATTCGTCAAAATAATAATAATAGAATGGAATAAATGCTTGTTTCTTCTTCTGGTCACAACTAAAGTAAATTTATTGCTGTAAATTGTACGATTTAGCTCTCTTTATGTGTTTCTAAATTAATACGAAAAAATAAAACAAAAAATAAAAATAACATTAATTTTTTTTTATCTTCCCCGCCTACAAAGAAAATTAAACCTTTAATATAATTTACATTTTTCTTTAGTGTTTTATTCAGCTTCTTTTTGCAATTGCAAAGCTGAGTTGGAGTATGGTCATTTTGTCAGAGATTGCTCTTGTGGAGCTATATATAAGCTTTAATGTTGCTCACTGAAGTTCTTCCTGCTACGAGTTTGCCAAAGCCTCAAAACTACCACCTGTAAAGTGAGATTTTGCAAAAAGAATTTTCTGCCTAAACACAAACAGCAGTAAATGACTAAATTCTTTAAATAACCTTTTGGTAAAATTTCTAAACGTCGTTCGTGCAAAAACTTGTGTTGGCTGTAAATTTTGAAGGCACGTGGATCTACTGTTGTTAGGTTTACAATGTCTTTGCGACATTCTTAGAATACCACTTTCTAAAATAACAGTCTACGTTATATAAAAGCTTAATGGCTAAACATCCAAGAAATTTATCCACTTAATACCAAAAATGCGCAACATTCATCTCTCTAAATTTCTCTCATTAAATCCTTCCATTGAAATTATTTCTCACGCAATTTTGTATAATTTGCTCCCTAAATGTTTGCATTAATTGAAGTGTGCTCGTATACGAATACACAACCAGTAAATAATTCATGATAAACATTTAATGGGGCTTATGGAGCTTGGTGGATAATTCAAATTTCACGAAATTTACAAACCGAATATAAAGACCGCTCATCTCCTTAGTCAAAAAAATGAGCAAAGAATTATGACGCAATCAAGACCTTGAATGTAATTATCATAAACCATGAAAAATTCATTTTCAATATTATTAGATGAGATTTTTAGACATAGTCATACTTTTTCTCGTGATACTATAAAGGAAGAAATTTCTTACAATCGTTTTTCTCATGTAACAGGCAGTGATATATTCATTGTTATTTGCTACTACATTTTTATATTTAAAATTGATTAAATGATGAGAGCTTTGGGTTCTCATGTGAAAGTGACGATATTTAAAAGGGGAAGCATGCAACAAATGCAGATATAAGATAACCACGAGAATTTACCTGCATTACTTAATTTTTTAAGTATCCATCGATTCTCTAATACTTTTTACCGTGCTTAGAGGTTAGAGGTTTGCTTTATCGATTACTCTGTGACAAATATAATTTTGATTAAAAAAGTCAAAGAATTTTCAATTTTTTAAAGATTTTTAAGGTGTATAACATTAAATTGAAATCTTATTCAAAATATTATTTGCCCATTATAAAAGTTTTTAAAAATAATTTCTAATTTCTAATTTCAAAAAAAAATTGTATTGAGTGATTCATATGCGATCCTAATATTGTTCAGTAAATATGATTGCTTGACTTTGAAGCAGGAGAAAATCAATTTTATAAAAGTAGGTAGAACTTCTTATTAGGAATTTTTTTATGGTATTCTATATAAAATACATAAATAAACTCAAAATAGTATAGCATCAAAATAATTAACTGAAGGTAGATTTTTCTCTTCTCGATTCCGCTATTCGAGCATCAAATTTTAATTTAAATTGATTTCATGTGATGTGAGAAGCATATTAAATTATGGAAAATAATGAAAATTTTGTGCAAACAAAATAGCGCTGAGTTTTCGAGACATTAAAATTTCTCACAAAAATGAACAATTTATGCGTATTTGCGAATGAATTCAAGAGGGAATTGTGAATAATCTGCCCGAGAAGTTTCAGTCTCAGGAAATGCAAAAGCTTTCAATCCAATCAAGGGTATGCTTGGATACCAATAGTTATTAATTATACTGTACATTATATAAACTTTAATCTACCTGTGCGAGGATAAGATCTATGACCGAGTGGTTAAGCATCAAATCTATTAATTATTATTTAGACTACTGTTAATCTGCTAATATGACATGTATTTGGAAGGAATTGGGAATTGTTTCAATAAAATTGGTTTAGTAAACTCTTCAATTGATATAAATTTTTTAAATTGTTTAGTAAAACTTCCTACGAGTTAACATACCGATACGCTCATACATGACATATTCAAATAATATTTACAAGGACAAACTGAATTTATCAAACAAAATATTTTATGCAATATCAAGGCAAGAGCGATAATATGCCACTCAAATGTTTATACTGCGTACAATAGATTTTTTTACAATCCTTTAAATATATTTTTTATTGGAAAATTGATGTTTGAATTAATTCTATTTCTATGCATAAGATTTTCATGTTTCACGTTCAATTACTTCATAGATGGAAAACTAGTAACCGCGGTGATCACTTGTGACATAAAAAACATAACTTAATTTTTTAAATTTTTCCCAAATTGGTATTTATTTTCTTGTGTATGAACATCTTATGTGCTGTGTAACGATAAATTCGCTTTTCCTTCCATTTACTTACAATCTTTGGATGTGGAACCACCCCAAAAGCAAAGTGAAGCACAATAATAAATGGATGGAAGAAAGAATTTTATTTTATGTAAAGATTTAATTTTATTTATTGAAATTATTCTTTCCTTCCATAGAGCGAGCGATAATAAATTAATTTAATCTCCATCTGGCTCAGTTGCGTTTTCTGCCTTCAACTCTACAAATAACAATGACATTCATGGCGTATATGCAAGCATAAAGCAGAATACAATAGTAAATACTAGCTACAGTCATCATCCACAAATCACAGCATCCAACACTATAATACCGAGGAACTGAGGATATCCTCGCTTTCGCTGACGACTGAAAAAAATCTTTATTAATGTTTTTGTCGAAAAGGAAATGAAGTGTGAATAAGGCATAAAACTTTTGTGGTTTTTTTTCACAAAAGAATAAAAAGGAAACATAAAAGAGATTTAAGTGAGACCAAGAAAAAGGAGAACATGAAAAAATTGTACCTAAAATATCATAAAAGTGAACGTGCGGAATTAATATGAGGATGCTAAAGAATTTAAAGAAATAAAAAAGTGATTTTTTTTTCTACACAATTATTATTTATAAGAAGTGAATGACTCTCGAATTAAATACTCAATTGCTACTTCAAAAATTGAAACGGATATGCGTAGTGAAGTGTTGAAAAGTGCTATATTATGAGTAAATTGCAAATGCATAAATCAATTCCATGCTACTATTTACAAATTACTTCAATTCGTAAAAATTGATGCATCAAATGCTTTTGGAACTAAGCAAATCAATACATTTTATTGAGTCAAATTGAATTCAGATTATGAGTATTTTAGTTTACTTTAAAAGACAAATCTATATTTATGAAGTTCAACATAAAACACAACAGCAACAAAGTCTACAAATTTTTTTATTTCGTTGAATGCGCATCAACGTGAAAATGAGTGAATCTATTTTAAGCACGACAAAAATCATTCAGCAACACTCAATGTGGATGAAAAAGCGATTCAAAAAATAATAATAAACTCTTATTCTCGAGTGTGAGAAAAAGTGAGTGTATAAACAGTGAATATACAAGTCACGAGGAATTGCTTGTGAGCTGTGAGCACACAAGAAAAAAATAAATAAATAAATAAACTAGACAACGAAAACACCAAAAAGAAAATACAAAAAGAAGAAGAAATCTTATAGACAGCAGAATCATGAACCTTATTTTGAACACGACCATATTTGATGATGTCAAAAATTCCACTTTGATCTACTTGAATGATTCCACAAGTGGGGAAAATTTTCAAAATGATTCGGTAACAGATCCAACTATCGTAGAATATTATAATGAATATCCTTGTCCACCTGCCGATTATCCAGAGTTTGAGTTTTGGACTAATGGAATCCTACTTAATCTTGTGGGATTTTTTGGGATTTTTGGGAATGTCATATCGATGATTATTCTCTCTCGTCCTCAAATGAAATCTAGCATAAATTACTTACTTATTGGCCTAGCGCGATGTGATACTATTTTAATTATAACATCCATGTTGCTGTTTGGTATACCTGCCATTTACCCATTCACTGGATTTCTACGTTATTACTATTTCCGCTTACTACCCGCCATTTCACATGTTGTATATCCACTAGCGATGATTGTACAAACAGCGAGTGTTTATCTAACATTAACTGTGACACTTGAACGATATGTTGCCGTATGTCATCCACTTCGTGCTAGGGCATTATGCACATATGGAAGGGCGCGATTCTATGTTATAGTAATAATTATCTTTAGCATTTGCTACAACGTACCCAGATTTCTAGAAGTCGATTTAAAAGAACATCCAGATGATGAATTTGAATTTGGGTATTGTATCTCGGCAACAGATTTACGTGCCGACTACACATATATCAACATTTACATTCATTGGCTTTATTTAGTGTTTATATACTTTATTCCATTCTCTGGCTTAATGGTTTTTAATTCGATGATCTATCAACAAGTACGAAAGGCAAATCGTGAACGACAAAGACTGAGTAGAACGGAAAAGCGTGAGATTGGTCTCGCGACAATGCTATTTTGTGTTGTCATTGTATTTCTATGCTGTAATATTTTGGCTCTTCTCATAAACATCATTGAAGCACTGCAGCAACAAATCTACGATCGTTTAGTGAAAACATCAAATCTCTTAGTGACAATAAACTCAAGTGTAAATTTCATAATTTATGTGACATTCGGTGAAAAATTTAAAAGAATATTTCTTCTGTTATTTTGTAAAAGACGCGTCGGACGTGACTCACCCGACATACTGCCCGATGATAGTTCATTTTCGAACGGTGACGCAAGTAATAGAAACTCTGGGCGGTTTCAACGTGTTGGAACAACCAGAAGTAGTACGCGGAACGGAACGAGTATTAAAGTGAATCGAACGACAAGAATAAACCGTGCTCCATCGCCGGGTCCAATCGTTTATTATCCAGCTCGTGAAACGTTACCACGACCCTCAAACATTTCAATTACACGCAGTACATCTCTCATAAATACAGATTGGAATCGGGAGGATCTAAACGGAAATGCACTGATTTCGTCAGCGTTCTGAAATAAATGTTCAAAATCAGAAACTTGAAACATTTACAATCACGTAGCTGTTACTTCATCCTTTTCAAACGAGGGTAAATAGTGAGAAATTGTTGCTGTTGTTATGGGTTGCATGACAACAGAAAAAAATTTAACAAAAGGACTGTAAGCAAAACGTATTGCCATACATATGTGATTTGACAGAGATGTTTGTGAGTAGATGACCATATTGCATACATCAAATAAAATAAAAAAGATTTTATATAACAATATGTGGCAATAAGCATAAGTTTTCAATCCTAAAATTATTGGGAACTTATGTTTACATATTTGAAACAGAGGATCACATTCTTTGGTACAAAAGAAAATGGAACGATATAGTTGTTTGATAAAAGAACGTTAAGATAGGCAGTAAGTAATTTGTTTCTTATAAGTTACTTATCTTGTGAGTGCGAGGGAGGAAAATAAAAAATTGATTGCTCTATAAATTTTATTTTTATGACTTATTATATATGCATACACAACAGAAAATGCTGTTTTTGTGGCATGCAAACTAAAAAAACTTGAAAAAGCACAAAGAAGGGAAGTAGTTGATGAAAAATTTCAGAACGTTCTGTCTGCGAATGAAAATTTATTATATTGACACAAACGAAACGAAATTGTGTTTCATTGTCATTTATTAGAGAATAAATCTGCTTTTATCTTACTATGTTTAGACATTATTATTTTGCACGGAATTAATGAGCTCTTAAAATTTAATCAAGAAATAAAAAATAAAGCTCTTTGAAAATATACAAACATACTAGTATAGAAGTCGCCGTTAGAGATGTGAACGGACGAACTAAGCGCAAAGATCTCGCATAGAGCAGTAAAAATGTTAATTAATTTTGTGCCACAATGCTTTAAAGTTACTTATATTGAATTTTTGAAAATTTCACAAAAAGAATTCATTTTTCTCTGAATTTTTTACACTTAAATGAGTTATTCAATACAGCATTTTATCAAGAATCATCATCAATATAGACGAAATAACTGCCATCATAATAAATCAGCATACAACCTGTTTTTTTTCTTGATCTTAAAGAACAAAACAGGAGTCATCATGTTTTTTTTTTTTTTTTTATTTTCCTCTCATCAAGCACGCGTTCTGGTCAAGATTAAATTAAGAAGAAGCGAAAATGACAAGAATTAAAATGTGATCAAAAAAAGAAGTAAAAAAATATGACAAAAACAAAATTTGTAAAGCTACTATAAGAGTTGTATATGAGGAATCCATAAAAAAATCAGGAAAAGATAAAAAGGAGTTTTTCTATGATTTCTCTTCGCACAAAGGAGATTTTAAAAAAATTAAAAACACGCTGTTATAGTACTCCGAGACACGTATTTTAATATATATATTATGTCAGGTTTAGTGCATTGGCTGTGGGTAAAAATCCTTAAAAAAGTTGTTCTTACCCTTAATTTTTGGGTAATGGACAAAACGTTGGTATTTGGAATTGGAGCGAAAAATTGTCACAACGGAATTTTTTCAATGTTGATGATTTTTTGCATTAAAAGATCAGAAATTCAAAAACTATTATTAAATATAAAAAAATTCGAAATGGTCAAAACGTTTAAAACGACGCTATTTTTGTATTGATAGTTGCATGAAGTTTGAAAATGTTCACTTTTTTGTCATACTTTATTGAAGTCTCGATGATAGAGTAATTAAAATGAATACTTTACAGCTGTGATTAAATTGTTTAACTATTTTAATTTGCTATAAAATCAAGTTTTTGGGAAATTTCTCTTTTTCGTGGATTCTTTCAAATATAATAAACCTTAAAATCATGAAAATTGGACAGCCAAAAGTGAGAGTAGTAATTATTAAGTTGTATCATCTCAAAAAAAAAAAATATGTCAAAATGGATTTAAATATCGTAAGAAAAAATAAGAGAAGTTAAGCTGCACAAGTGTATAAAAATAAAGTATACAGGGAATATAATCATAAAAAAAATGGAGTAAACGTTGTGTACAACGATACCAGTCAAAGTTTGTGGCATGAAATGGGAATAAAATTTTGTTTTTGTTCATCATCATGTAAACAAGGATCTTTTCCCATGCACATGATAAATAAAAGCATAACTGAAGAGCTTATTCCATCTTTCCATAGTGATTATTTATACAAAGGCATAGGTTTCACATAAATTGGAAATGAATATGAAAGGATGGAAGGAAATTGTAATTCTCTTTCTACCTCTAGTTTATCATTTTTAATAGTTGCAATCATAAGAGGTCAATTTGTTAATAAGTGAGGATTCAACTCAGGGAGGAACAATTGAATTTGATTACAGCTCTTAAATTCTTTCGTTCATAAATGATGACACAGGTGGGGTTATTTTACTCGATATTACAAGACTCAATGGAATCCAATGTAACAATTTGACCCTTTATCAAAACTTTCATTTGCAAATGAAAACCAAAAGAAATTAAATTTCAAAATTTTATTTAAAGCTCGGCTATCTTTATTTTTGAATCTCAATACTAAGTTGTTGTTCACAGAATTTATCGGAAATTTCAAATTTAGGTAGATCTACTGAGAAAACTTAATTGAAATTTCAATAACAGTTATAGGATGCCGCTTAAATAAAAAAATGTATTGAACATAAGATACAGTTTTGATAATCTTTAATGAATATGCGAATTATTTACATATTTTCTTTTTCCCTTAAAAAAAGAGAAAAAATAAGTGCTATATTTTTAATATCCTTCTTGTTACTATTTTACTTTATTATGAAGGTGTAGCATGTGTATCAAAAACGAAGAAAGAAATTAAAAAAAAGAATACAAAAATCTTCGTGTTATTGATTCGAAGGACTTCGCGCATTTTCGAAGCGACGATCAGTATTTAATTTTAAGTGCTAATTAATTCAATTACAAAAACATAATTTTTGCGAAATGTAAATTTTGAGTTATTGCTTAATTTTTTTTCGTGTTCTGTTGATTGTACTAATTACGTTTGATTTTATTAAAATCTAACAATGTTAATTATCTGCATCATTTAAAAAATTTTTGTAAAATATATTAATTTTTTGTCACTTTGCTATTAACGGTTTAAATCGAATGAATTATAAAAACACCGAAAATATGCCATTTTCTGCAATTTTGTTCCTCACGAATAAAATATAAACATAATTTTTACTAACGATAGCTGAATAAAATTAAAAAAATACATGCAAATAGTTTAAAATTTATAAAATGTATTGTGTTTTTAAAATTCATTTTAAAATTCAGCTTAGTAAAGAAAATTGAACCTGGAAACTTTAGGGTCCTGTTTTTTGCAATTAATGTGATCTCAGATCTCAAGTTTTGCTCCTGCCGAACGGACAAACAAACAATGTGAAAAGAAGTTTTTAAAAATGGATTACAAACACCTACCATGAATTACATTTCCTTCCATTCTATTCAGAATACATAACCATAATTTATAAATTTAGTGGAATTTAGTTGGTCATAAATGTGCAAAAAGTTTTTATTCTTATCACTTGACATTCACATTACGCATTTGTTTCTTCACAAGCACGAAATTTCCATTTCCAATGAATGGCACGTTTCACCTTTTTTATCAGAATCAAATGAAATAAACTCGAATTCTATATTTTCATATTTTTAATCTTCATTAATGCCGAGTCACCGAAGGTATTAAAAAAACCGGAGATAATGATAAGGATTGTTAATTATTACCAAGAAAGATAATATTGTTAATTACTTCTAGATTATTTATTGATGGGCTGATTTAGGAAACAGTTTTAAAAATTGATAATTAAGTATTTTCATCCTTCCTTTTGTTTTCAAATTGTTTACAAAAAGAACTTCATTGATCAACAATATTAAAATTATTTTGAAAAAAAATGTGTTTTATTCAAGGTTCACCAACTTTGTTGAAATTCGCTGCAAAGTACAATGCAGTCATAGAAAAAAGTACTTCCACAAGGAAAAAATTTCAAGGTGCACCAAACACCTTGGATTTATTTTAGAAATTTATCAAGTTTAAGCGATAGAGTATATCAACGAGCTTAAAAATGTTTACTTCGAGTTTTACGTTTTTCAACATGATATGAAATTGATTTGAATTAAAATTCAAGTAAATTTTAACCAAAGACGCTTATATCATAAAATTCCAAATTGGACGACCCTTCAAAAATTCACAAAACATGATCAAAAATATTGTAAGTTTAAGTCATATAAATGATTGATTGTGAAAAAGAGATGACAAATTAAGAAGAAGAAATTTCTATTTTAGCAATGTGAAAATTTTCTCAATCAATCTTAATTTGAATTCTTCTTACATACTGCTGCATTACATTTTTATGTATTGTAAAAATCATTATGAATCATGAACAAGATAAAAATATTGTAAAAAAATTATTTCATAAAAAAATGAAAGATATAAAGGATAAATAAAAAAAAAGATGAAAAAATTCTGTTATTTTGTTAAAAAAGAAGAAGATGGAATGCATTTTATCTTTATATTTATTAGAGTACTCTATACACATAAATTTTTTCTAGTACTCTTAGTAATTTGTGCACTAAAATTTGAAAACTTAAGTTCATCTGGATCTAACAGTTAAATTTAAAGGCTCATTTTAACCTTGAAAATTTTCTATCTAGAGCGCTTAATTCCATTTCTTATAAAATCCTCATATTATTTTATGTTACTAGTACATTACGTACAACACTGATATCCATTTATGAAACATCATCATCGTAATCATGGAATTGCACCAGATGGACTATTCCCTTTGAAATTGAATCCATTTGATACATCAACACGACTTTCAGAGAAACCTTTTATTTTCAGCATATTGTAGAAATTTTATTTCAAAATATTACTATTGGTTGCATTGTGGATTGTGTTTTCCAGGTTAGTATTCTGTGAAAACGAACATCTATTCAGCATTAACCGCAGTATATTGTTCTGCAACTTTGTACAAATCAAATACTACTTTTGACATACTTTTACTAGGTCGGTGTTTTTGTGCCATGGCATGCTACGATGGTCAAGGACTGATAGTGAAGAGTTTTTGAATTTTCCTTAAATTCCAGAGATTAAAATTTTTTGGATTTACACAAAATCAAACAATAAAATTCATCTCACACTTTTTTGAAATAGAATTACAGTTCATCCTTACAATGAAAATATTTATCCACAGTGGATCTTAGGGCTAAAAGAAGCGGAACAGCTTAAAATGTGCAAATTGATTACCGTCGATTTGTTTTTATTCTTCTGAATTTTAATTCCTGATTTTGGTTAAATTGACTCATAATACAATGTTTTAGTAAGTCCCAACTACGATAGTAATTAGAAAAAGAAATATGAACAAAATAATATAAACAAGACTTTCAATTTCAGAGAAAAAAAATTTACAATATTCAAAATAATTATTTCCATAAATTTTATTTTATTGAAGAACTTAA